AAAGCTGTTGCTGCTCCATGACGCACTTCCCATTTTTGACTAAATAAATCCTGACAAAGACTTTCCGCAAAAGATTCTAAAGGCCAATCTACGATTGAATCTGGCCAGCATCCAGTACTATCTGGTACTCCATTTACTTGCTCGTTAGATATGTTGCATTTTGATCCAGTGTCTGATGAGATTGTGTCCTCTAATATAATTTTTTTGGTTGCTGGTTCACCAATTGGAGATTGAACATTCATTGAATTTAAATTGTCATCATTAGCGCGATGGTCATCCGGTTCGCGCGATCGTTGTTTCGATACTGATTGACGAGCCTATTATTAAGATATAAATAATTAATATCTTTATCATGAACTTTATAAATAAAACATGAAGCATGTAAAGCAATCCTGAATATTATAAGTTTTCAACACTTGCTGACATAAACTGCAATAATTTAAAGAAAACGTTAATTATAAATAGTTAAATATAAAAGTTTGAAAATACTTTGCGTTTCGCTCTATTCATTTCTCTTCTGCTCATCAATCCTTCAGAGTCATCAACAGGTGTAGCAGTTTGTGTTATACATGGCGCCTGTACTAGAGCCAAATCCTCAACAGTAAATAAATCGTCAACACCCATCAAACGTGGATGAAAACCTAACTTTGCAGCTAATTTTTCTTGCTGATTGGGAAGTGACAATTGTTCTCCCTCTGATACAGTCAAGTCGTACTCACTGCCCTCAGATCCAGTAAGATGTGAACTACGAGCTAGAACTCTGCTCATATCAAAAGACTCTAAATTCAATCTGGTAGTGGAAGGCTTGCGTTTCACTTTAGATTCATCTATTAATTCAAAACACTCATACATGATATAATTGAAACTTTCAAAAATTCTTATTAAAGGTATAAAAATTAATTAACAATGTATTAATATTAAAATACAAGAAATAACAATAAGAATAGCTACGAGCCAAATCAAACAAAATTTAAACTAATGTGTATATTAATAGCGGTTGACTGAAAAGACTGATATAAGTAATACAGAAAATAATTAAAATTAAAACTTCGATGTTTAGGTC